GGTCACCGGAAAATACTGTTTTTCTTTCTTTCTGCTTACTTCGGTCCAACTTTACTTGGCGCGTGAGGAGGAAATCTGAGAATTTGTAAATGTAAAATTCTGTAAAATTGTCTTCTTTTCATAGTTGATTCATTGGCAAAATTATAAAATTTGAAGAGATACTTTTAGCGCGGTTGTTACACTACGAGCGTCGCATGAACCTTATTCGTCGAGAGGGGGCAAGTGTAGTGCACTGTGATAAAAATCAAAATATTCATTTTTGCAATCACATACAGAGATTTTATCATGGGTCATGAGAATTTTTTGTTAAGTTTACTCAGAGAGCGTTTGTATGCAATAGGTATCTGATACGTTAGAGGCAGTTGGCAGAGGTTTTTTCGACTACTTCAGCAGGAAATTACTCGATATGTTTAAAAGAAGAACTTTTGAGGTCTATAGATTAATGAGACCTCGAGTGCATAAAAAATTGAAAGCAGCTGTATTTCTGTCCCTTGTACACGAATTTTGTGGAATAAATAAAAAAAAAATGAATAAATTGCAACTAATGGCCGTGTTGAACGAAAAAGTTAAGTCATCAATCATTTAACAGAAAACTATGGTAGGTAAGTTGGATTAAGCCACGAGATGAGATTCAAGAGTGATCTACTAAAATTCTTCGTCTATTGGTGTCTAAAAATTGGATACTTTCGTTATCAGCACACCTCGTTTCAGTATCATTTATTCCAATTGAAGAACCACGAAACAGAAACCTATGATAGGTAAGTTGGAATTAGCTACGAAATGAAATTGAAGAGTGATCTAGTCAAGTTGTCAGTCTCCTGGGTTCTAAAAATATGAAACTTTCGTTATCAGCACACCTCGCTTCACTACCATTTATGCCAAGTAAAGAGTCACTCAACAAAAAACTAAATTAGGTAAGTTAAAATAAGCCACGAAATGAAATCTAAGAGTGATCTAGTCAAGTGGTTCGTAAACCGGGTTCTAAAAATATAAAACTTTCGTGATCAGCACACCTCGTTTCACTATCATTATGCCAATTAAAGAGTCTTTCAACAAAAACTACGGTAGGTAAGTTAGAATAAGCCACGATATGCAATCGTAGAGTGAGCTAGTCAAGTTCTGGTCCGAAGCGTTGGGCGTAGAGGAGAAAGACCACAAGAGAAGAGCGCTTAGCGCTTAATCCAAAAGGCACAAGCCGGAGTCACGACACAACACAACCGAAGCGGGGGCACGAATCTCGGATTTGCAAGTAAACACTGAATTACCTTAGAGCAGATCATGGTGGTAGCGAAGGAGTAGGCGAACTATGATCCGATCCGGGGGACGGTGAGTATTTATACGGGCAAAAGCTCGGGGGGCAATTAATTCATTAGCGGCCGAGGGCGAGGGTTGCGAAAGCCCTTTCCTAGCCCCCCCTTCCCGGCGGGGGCTCGTGAGAACGGACCGCGGGGTTGCCGCCGAGAGCCGAGTGGTCATCGCGGGAAATCAGAGCACCGTGAAAAGTTGCCAAATCGTGTGTTTTGGATTTTTTGGGGCCTGCCTCCTTTGCATTGGATGGCGTGAATCTACGTTTCGAGAACAGTGTTGCCGAGTTTGCTACACTGGAAAAAAACACATTGGATCTAGAGTCCAGACTCTTAAAAACATCGACAAGAAAAAATACTCTTGATTCAATCAGATTTAAGCTTAAATCAAGAGCCAAGCCTCTTAATTTGAGCAAATTTCCTTTTGATTTGAGCTTAAACCTGATTAAATCAAGAGTCCTTTTTCTTGTCGATGCTTTCAAGAGTCTGGACTCTAGATCCAATGTGTTTTTTTCCAGTGTACTTAAGTTTACCGGCTAGAGGGAAAACTTTCCCGATGCTTTGGCAATTTAATTCTATATTTCCTGAGATTAAAGTACTTGTGTACGATTTCGATAAGTTCCTTGCTGTTGCTTAAGTTTAGCAAAAATTAGAACTACTAAAAATTGAGGAATCACCTTTAAAATATCGAAGATATTACTTTATTTATAGGTCCCAGAATAGATAGGCAATTACATGAGGCACATGAATTAGACAATGCATTAATAAGATGTCTCCGTCATCACGGAGATATGGGTTGAAGCCTAATTGGCTTTAACACTTACTATCCATTTTCTCTCCAATTCTATCTGAACAATCTTGGAGAGGTGCCTCGACTGTGAACGTTTTTGATAAAATTTAAACGTACAAGAAAGAGCCATCCACTAATCCATTTTAAATGAAAATTGTCAAATTCTTCGGTATATGAACTTTTCAGGTGAAACCTTTGTGCATTAGTGCTTTTCCACTTGCGCCTCTGTATTTTTGCCTATACTGCAGCAGTTTAGACTTTCAGAAGCTTTCAGTATGATAGTTTCTGATGCACAAAAAGTTGATCTATGAGCGAGTAAACGAATGCGCAAGCTGATAGCAGATACCTTCCTCTTTTGCAACCCCTAGAAAGCCCCCTTTAATTACCGCACCACTGTCTAATCTTGATGAACAGATTCCTGCCACTTATCGTAATATCACATTTTTTAGAAGGACAATTACTTGGCGTCTTCTTGTGTCGAATGATACTCTGAAAACCGGGGGTAGGGAGGGAAATCGATCAATATTTTATGCATGAACGATAATTGGTGGCTCTTCAAGAAATAAAATGTGCGACATCGCCAAACAAGAGATGAGTTTCTATACTTTTACCATCGATATCAGTAATGAGGCCTTAGGATCCTTTACGGTTTATGATCTATACAATTTGATGTATTTGTCTTAATTGTTTCTGGCGCACAACTTACCAAGCCCACGGAGAGTTTACCAGGTAAAAGATAGTGCATATGACTCAGTTTCAAAATCAAGAAGCGGCAACACAAAATAAGAGCTTCTGTTTGGCAGGTTCTTTTGATTGAAGTTTCATAATCAATGTACATTTTAGCGATCATGACAAGAAATTCACCAAGAAATTTGATATTGAGAACGGCATGGTTGAGCAACGCATTAGGTGGAGGGACTCCTTTGATCATTCCGGCGTAACGTCACTGACTGAAATCAAAGGCGAGGCGTGAATGATAGATCATCGATATTTCCCCATTTCAGGCTGTGGTACAGAATCGATTATTACAGTGTTCGTTGCAAACACTCCGTTTATCGATCTTTTTTCATAGGTTTAAATGGCAGATCGATCGATACATCGCAAAGCACGACAAGCCACTGAGAGAAATGGGTAGAATGTTATCATGCAGCTTAAAACAACTTAAGCCAGTTTCATATCTTACGACGCTATTTATCAAGCGCAGCGTGCTTCTGAATAAATTGAAAAATTATGGCGGGTCATTTACTTCGAATAAGGCATCAAATGACCACTGAGGAGTTAAGAAATCAAAGTATGCCTTACTTATTTATCAGTCCTGCTGAACACGAGAAAAAATCAAGAAATAGATTTAGTTTTCGATGGATATTTAAAAAATTCCCATTAGAGATTATCATGAGAAATTTTCTCCATTTAACTATTTTTCTATGGGACAACTTACTTAGCATAATCGGTGAAAGTAACACATTACAGTTTTCTAGATCCTTATAAAAATCACACGGAATGTAAAAATGCACACCTTCAAAAAAGTTTTAAAGCAAAATACTTAAGTAGTATTTGGTACATTTTTATGATTTCTGCGTCTTCTACAGTGATTCTATCAAAACATTGAAACCCGTAGTTTTAGAACCTTTAAGTGATTTGGCACCCCTGGCAAGTCTCGGCAATTTTTTTTCTCCCCAATGAAAAGGACCGTTTGAAGCACGGTTAAAAGGCAAAAAACGAACGCTCGTTAAAATGCCACCCAAATTTGGCGGCGATGTTTAATTTAATTCGGGCGAATTTTTTTTAGTAGTGACACAACCGATTGCTTCCTCTCTCCAGCACACTTGCAATGGACGTAAGGGCATGCTCCAGTTTCAGGACTCTGCCGCAAGAGGCGCCAACTCGAGTTGCTCATTGCTCAACTGTGAAGACATTTACATTCTTCCAACTTATTCGGGGCCCATCCAAACAGCTCTGTTTATTTAATTGTCAAAGTACAAGTAGACTCGAAACATCTATCCTTTGAAACTGGTTTGCAATCCGGCTTGAAAAAAAACTGGAGCACTTGTTGAGTCAAGATGACACCTCGAAGACTTAATTGTTGCAATACCTTTAATGACATCTGTTTAAAAGACTTGTCCCAAGTAAAAAACGCCTGTTTTGAACATTTGTCACTACTGGCAATTACCATGACCCAAGGATAGACATCTTGTGCTGTGTACCTCATATAGCGCCGGATTCAATTCGAAGTGACCAAATTTTTTCTCAAAAGGCTGAGTTTTGTTGGTAAAAAGTATGGGTACTTTTAATTTTACCAGAACATGATCATTTTTTACTTTCTTTTACTCTTATTTTAAATAACACTAAGTATAATTCAACCATGCAAACGAAAACCACCTAAATACAAGGGCAAAATCACGAGAAATATAATGTCGTAGAATGTCTCCGCATGTAGTTAGTTAGCGTATGTACATCCCCCGTCATTTATTTTTCTTTCCTTTTCTTATTTATTTTTCCCCATACCTTCAGACAGTTCTCAATCCCCGAAAATCTTCGAATGTCAACCATCACGTGTTCGTACACAAACTTTGACTGAGAGACATTTTGAAATAAACTCAAAACGTATATCCCAAGTGAATATCGCAAATCAGAGAACTAAAAAATTACGATTTTCGTGCGCATGGGGGATAGACTTTTCCAGTTATATTTAAAGCATGTCTTGGTCAAAATTTGTGCGCCAACGCCTAATGGACAACAACTTGATTTGACATTTGGGGAGAATTAAAGAAGTCCTAAAATCCAGAAATTATCGATCGATTGATTGACTATCTATTCGTTCTGCAATAAGCTATGGCTATGGAGCCAGGAGCCACCCTAAGTAAACAAATGTGACGACATAGGAACCAAGGATTCACAAAGCTCCACGTTTCTATTTTGAACACAACACAGTTAAAAATTTACTTGTTTAGTGTTACTTTGAGTTAATTTATTTTTCTTTCTTGGAATTTCCGCTGATATAGAACTTGAGGGTGGGTTGGAATTGCCGTATATCTAAAGCCAAATCGTGCCCAAACTTCCTCTCTTCTACATGAGTTATCCTAGGAGGTAATTCATCTGCAGCGCGTCATACACGTGCGTATGCGTAACTGGCGAGGCGCGCGTGGTCATTGCTCTTGACACATTTCTCCGCACGAGACCGTGAGAGAGCCAAGTTTACAATCTTCCACTGCCGTCGCGCATCGCGTCGCGGCGCTGAGAAGACCCGTCACGACGACAAACGTCCTTGGAAGTGAACTTTGAGCCAAACGCGCGTCCAGCAATGCAACAACCCTCTCAATCGCTCGTCACTAAATCGGCTCGCGTTTAGTGCGTATTTTGGACTGCTAACCCTCCATTAAGTTCCCAAAGTTTGCTTTTCAGACAGTGGACTGCTGTCGAGCAGTACCTTGTCTAAGGTACGGACTTAAGGTGGTTCGTCAAGCTCAAATGACGCGGTCGAACTGGCATGCGATATACCGCATCGATTAGGTAAAAAATCTCGGCAGATTTTGAATTTTTAGCAGAAAAAAGGACAATGGCCCCTGCGCATGAGCCTAAAGAATCATTCTAATTCCAAAAAATCGGCCAAATTCAGAAAAATTAAAGCAGAATAGTGTTTGGGAAAAAAACCTCGCATTCGATACAGAAATCGATTGCTGAATCGAATATGAGGTTTTTTTCCAAACATGCTGCTTTCATTTCTCTGAATTTTGCCAATTTTTGGGTTATCACCTATCTGACAAAAAATAAAACCGACTTGAGAGTACTCTCTGAGAAATCTCTTTTCTATGTTGAATTCTTCCTTTTGAGAGGATCAGTCTTTAGCTCAAAAAAAAAAAAAAAAAAAAAAATCCAATAAGTTGAGCGAAATATGGACTCTCAGAAATCATGAAACCGGGTCAGTTCTTTGTGATGAACAAATGCATTTATTTGTAAATAGAGATGAATAGGCACGCCAAAAGGAGAATAAAATCTAATCCAAATACGTGTCACACTTGTCACAGTGCAGCTCTCTGACCTTTCCCAGGATTGTCTTCTTCATCAAGATACGCTGAGGTTACGTACCCAAGGGAGGATGAAGAAAGTTTTGATAAATACTCTTTGAAAACTGGTTTATAAGACATTCAAAATTTATGACAGCACTCCATACATGCTAATATTTTTAAGGATTTTTGGGCCCTTTAAGTTACATGACATTTTAGCGAGGCGCAATCAGCGATCTTATGACCATGGACAAAATTTTTCTCGGTACTGGATTTAATTTAATGCACATTGCAGGGAAGTTTGCATTGAGCTGATGGGAATTTAATGAACAAAGACAAAATAAAATGCTTATTAGGGCACTTTATGGTATTGTTTGAAGGTTTATCGCAGGTGAAAAACAGTATACAACCATGAACTAATTGTAATTTTGAAAAAAATAAATAAAAAAGCTATACAGCAGAGAGATCATTTTTGGAATAATTTTGGATGTACTCTTAATATTTCCTCCAGTTTGGGCCGTTTGTAAATTACATCCTCTTCGGAACTATGCAAATAGACCCTATCCTTCTTCGCACCGCATCTCATTTGTCACTCATGCCCGTCTCTCCTTTAGAAAAGTCACACTTTGCTTCGTATCATCTTTTTAGCTTTTATAATAGAAATTCGTCCTTTTGTACAAACTTTATGAAACCCGACATTTTTCATGAAATTAACTTAGCGTCACGAAAAATGTGTCCTTTCCTCCCTCCCTGCCTCTCCTCAGGATTTTACGAACCTTTCAGCGATATATGGGAATTTTCAGTTCCATTAAAGCTTCCCTGACATGTTAGGTGCTGAGTCCACTCTGTATCAAACAGGAGTTATATATGAGAATAGATAGCTGTGATTTTTATTTTCTGGCACGATTTTGGTGCTCCCAATTTAGCCGAGAAAAAAAAGCGAGCTCAGAAGCCATCATAAATCAAGGGGGATATAAAGACGTTGAAAGTGCCTCGTCCCACTAACCTTCGCCCAATAAAGGACCGAGTCAGAAAAAAAATCAAATCGGCATTAATCGTTTTGGGCTACCTTTTGCATTGTATGATCGTTAGAAGTTGAGCAAGTTCCTCCTTTATGAGCCTCTGCTGAATGGTTTTTCTTTATTGTTTATTTTACTATATTTTTTCTTCCATTTGCCCAATCAGTTACCACTGGTACTGCGATTAACTCCAGTTCTATTTTAAAAGAAAGAAACACAATTTAAAAGGTGCACGCTTTAATATCCATATAAAATTCATAAGGTTAAAAATCACGCAAAAAACTAAATCAAGTGCTTAATTTAAACAAGTAGTGGCCAGAAAAAATGAGACGCATACACTTGACCTTTATACATTACAAATTCCCCAAATTCTAACAACTAAATGATATTTTTTAACAATCAGACGAAAATTTTTGTATCTTACAACATACTTGAACGTTATTGATGTGACGGATAGTAATTTCATAGTAGTGTGTGAAAAAAAAATTTATGTGAAGAAAACTTTACAATAATTTGTATTTTTTATCCAAACAAGTGGTAACTTTCAACTATGTCCTAAATATCAGAAAGAGCGAACAGCAGAGGATTTTCGACTTTGTTTGTTCATTGTCAACCGTCAATTTGATAGATAAAATAATATTTGGGTGAGTTATCAACAGACCAGCAACACTAATAATAATAATTCTTTGCGCCGTTCCTCACGTGCACAGAGATAAAACCGAATTATTTACAAGAAAATTAAACTTAGAGGCACTACTTAATTGGTACATAAATAGTATTGGTACTTAATTGGTTTATAAATACACAGTTTAAATTAAGGGTTTCGATTATTTTTGAGTGAATTAAGCAAATGAACGATTACTCCATTGTATGCCCTGGTAAAAATTGGCAGTAGATCTGTGTTCTAAAATACTATAGACCTAAAGCCGGCTGTAAGATCTCCAATAGCTTCTACAGCCGGCTACAAAATTTCTAATAGCCTTTTATAGCCGACGGCTACGCAACAGCCAGGCGATAAAGTGTATGCTAAACATTACTAATTACGGATGCTAGGACTTGGTGAGTTTTTGGACTACCGCTCTCTTTTTGGGCCGTAGTATCGGCCTCAAGTATCTGATTTAATTTGCGAGGAAAGTTTCGTACTTTTGAAGGATGCTTGTCATTCTTAATATGTTTGAGTCCCTTCCATTTCGTATGATACTGCGAAATACCTCTGGTGTGAAATAGTTGCTTCAGGCGCCGTGGCACGCTGCGGCGCGGCGGGCGGGCAGAGAGCGCGAAACGCGCATTGGCGCCTACAAACCTAACAGGAATACTTCACGCATTGCGCAATGCGTGAAGTATCCCTATTAGGTTTGTAGGCGCCAGTGCGTCGCCGCACCGCTTTGTGTTAGACTCTAATATTTAATCTCGCGGAGTCAGCGTTTTTCAACTCATGATTTTGAATTGTTTGCACACTCTATATGGATTATTCTCATTTTAGTTGATGAAAAAAATATAAATTAAAGGAAAATATAATGTGTGTTTTGTCAATATTAAGGTGATTCCGTACAAACTTAAGGATTTACAAAGCACACGAATTCCTACAAAATTTCTTCTAGCCTTTTATAGCCGATGACGATAAAGCAACAGCCAGGCAATAAAGTTCAAAGCCCGGCGATAGGAACTATAGCCCGGCTGCGTAATTTGTTATCGCTTCGTATAGCCAGGCCGTATGATTTTCTCAGCTTTCTACAGCCAGCTATTTGATTTTCTATAGCCTTCTTTAGTCGGCTATAAGTACTCCTGTGGTATTTTGAAACGCAGCTCCTGTCGCCAATTTTTACCAGGGTGTGTATTTCAGGTGGATCAACATTTTTCTACCATTTTGTCTCCTCGCAATTATATTCTTGATTTTAAATCCTAAGAATGCAGAGTTGTGCATTAATTGGTACATTATATTTCATTATTGTGGAAAATGTCAATGGACCACTAGACAAGGTACGAATTTAAGCATTTTGATACATATTTCTTAACCAAAATTTCACGTAAAACACGATGCGCACAACAAAAATTACCGAAATCAACTCCTTACAATGATATTGAATGATTCCTGATGCGTGAATTCAAACCACCCGCTCATTAAAACTCAATGCTCTACGTGATTCACATCGCGCGTTGAACATTATCATGACACACTTTGCGATTTAAAAATCTGGCAACCTCAATTTTGACCCTTGGGCCCAGCTATAGCAAATTGCTTATAATGGGCCTGTTGCAAACTTTTGCNGCGCCTACAAACCTAACAGGAATACTTCACGCATTGCGCAATGCGTGAAGTATCCCTGTTAGGTTTGTAGGCGCCAGTGCATCGCCGCTCCGCTTTGTGTTATGCTCTAATATTTAATCTCGCGGAGTCAGCGTTTTTCAACTCATGATTTTGAAATGTTTGCACACTCTGTATGGATTATTCTCATTTTAATTGATGAAAAAATATGTATTAAAGGAAAATATAAAGTGTGTTTTGTAAATATTGAGGTGATTCCGTACAAACTTAAGGATTTACAAAGCACACGAATTTTCTACGCAATTTCTTCTAGCCTTTTATAGCCGATGACGATAAAGCAACAGCCAGGTAATAAAGTGTAAAGCTCGGCGATAGGAACTATAGCCCGGCTGCATAGTTTGTTATCGCTTCGTATAGCCAGGCCGCATGATTTTCTCAGATTTCTACAGCAAGCTATATGATTTTCTATAGCCTTCTCTAGTCGGCTATAAGTACTCCTGTGGTATTTTGAAACGCAGCTCCTATCGCCAATTTTTACCAGGGTGTGTATTTCAGATGGATCAACATTTGTCTACCATTTCGCCTCCTCGCATTTATATTCTTGATTTTAAATCTTAAGAATGCATAGTTTAAGCATGAATTGGTACAATATATTTCATTATTGTAGAAAATGTTAATTGTGGCGAGGTTTTATCGCAGAAATGGCACTTAACCTCAAACCATTTCAAAATTGTAGAATTTATCTGGCTGTTATGTGCAATAGTTTTTGCCGGTGGCCAACCACCATACATTCAGTGGCGTGGCGTGCTTTGCGACATATCGATTGATCGGTCATTTAAACCTATGGAAAAGGATCGTTCGCAGCAAACACCTTAATAATCGATTCTTTAACATAGGGTTAAATGGCATAACAATCGATATAGCGCAATTCACGCCACGTCACTGCATACAATAAGGGGTGAGCGCAAGACGGAGCGCCTCCAGCCCCGACTGAATGGCGGTTAGCTACCACCACAAAGTCTTCACAATGAGTCACTGACGCCCTTATACTTGCGCTTATGAACATAAGTGTACATATTTATGTGTATATGAATGGCTCAATTGTTAAAAGCACCAAATAAACGTATCTACCAACCAACCAACCAACTATAAACAAGTTCTTTTACTTAACCAAAAAATGAATTTACGGAACCCTCAATCTTTTCAAAAAATGAATTATCACATTACTTACTACTGAGCTACCTCAATATTGGCACTAAATCTAGGATGACTGAGCATGACACGTTTGGTTTATTTAGCCTAATAATTTACCATAAATTGTTATACATACAGAACGCAACATATCTGAGGCGCAAACATGCCTTTTTTAACGCTAATGACACAAGAAATCACGTTCTTGCAAATCTTGCGATCATAATATAAGTCTTAGAGTGCATTTATGGGAAAAATACAGAAGAATTATTGATGGAGAAAATTAAGTAGTACAATCATACCAAAAACTATATATGCACTCTGTATCAAGGAATACTTAATATAATAAGAGATTTAAGTAAAAAATGTATTTGTTGGAGAATTTAAATCGGAGAGGCATACATATACAATAGAATGAAACAAAATGTAACTATCTAGGAAGTAAGATACCTGAGCATCAAAAACTCTAAGATCGAAATTTTGAAATCGCAGCGGGGAGTGCGAATAAATTTCGATACATTAATCGCCGAAAGTGTTCAAATCAAATTATATAATGACCACACAGTTTGAATTTTGCATTAAAAAACCCCTGGTTTTGAGAGTTATCCTATGTTTTAATCCATCAAGTTTACACCTCATTTTCGAATTAAAATTCGAAGCGTTTTTTCAATCTCATGAATTTGATTATACCATTGTTATTTTCCCGTCGAAAACTCAAATCTCAATTTTTTATTCCAACTAGACGAAAATCTCTCTCCTAAACAATCTGCCTCCTTAGATCAATGCACTTTCCATATAAATAGCCACAAATACATATTTGTCAATAAACTAGATCTCTCTCATTATTTTACATAATTCAGCCATCGTAAGTTCTAAGGTTGGTCCTAGAAATGACGTTCAGATAAAGAAAAAGTATGCCATCTTATTGACTTGAATGAAGGAAGAGTCGTTAGACCTCAAGTTGGTGGTAAAATTCATACTATTTCTTAAGCTCACATTCTTAAAATGAACTGTGAGGGAACATAAGTATAAGAAGATAAAATCTCCAGCAAAATTGGAGATACAGAATGCCTCATTAGCCCACTATATTTTGTAATCTATTATTTGCAGTCTGCCATCCACGTCTCTGTCTCCGCAAGTTAAAGGCATGGTGGTATTTCAGGAACGACTTATCTGTGTCATGTGAGCCTCATCGCTGTAACTGGGACTCTCGTAGCTCTCGGGAGCGCCGATGTTGGGACCACTCGGATCACTGCTGCTGCTATGTTCACCGTCCAAAGTACTGACCACTTCCGGGTGCTCTGAATAACTTCCTATTGGTCCGTAGGGCACTGACCCAGCAGCGATGCCTCCGTACTTACCGAGCCCACCTGCAGTATTGGCAAAACCACCCATCGCATTAATGTAGGTCGGGTTGTGGTACTTGGTAGGTGGTGTATGCCCAGAGCTACTCGGCGGATACCACCCACTACTACTGGGTGGATACCAACCACTACTACCACTACTAGGCGGATATATACTCCCACTACTACTAGGTGGGTACACACTCCCGCTACTACTGGGCGGTAACGGATACGAGTGTCCGCCACCCGAACCTCCAATGTACACCGGGATTGTCTTCTTTATATACACCGGCTGGGGATATGGCACGGGCACAGGCTTGGATACGGGAACTGGATACGGCTTGGGCACAGGGTACGGGACCGGGTGTGAGACTGGGACTTTGACGGGGACTTTGACCGGGTACGGGACTGGCTTTTCCACCGGGTACGGCACTGGTTTCTCGACCGTCACTGGGTATGGTTTGGGGACGTGGACTGGGTATGGGCGGTCAACTGGGACTGCGTAGGGGACTTTGACCGGGTACGGGACTTTCTTCTCGACCGGGACTGGGTATGGCTGCGGGACGGCGACCGGGACTTCCTGGTGGATGGTGACGGCTTTGACGACCCCGTGGCTGATGGGCTGGCCCAGTTTGTAGCCGTAGTTGAAGCCGTAGAATGGAGCCGGGGCAGGAGCGTGGTTGTAGACCCCGCCAGGGATCCCGCTGAACTTGACTCCGTGGCCGACGGCGTAGCCGCCCAAGGTGTGGCCATAGCCTCCGGGGACTCCGTAGGCAGCCGGCGCGTAGACGGAGGGTCCGTAATAGCCGGTGCCTTGGCCGAGACCGTAGCCCACGCCGAAGATGCCCCGCTTCTGAGTTTTTGTGTCCTCCGAGGTTGAATTGAGGTCCTGGTCGTGGTCTGGGAGGACTACCACTGTCACGTTGGTGTATGCGTTGTCTTGATCCGAGAAGGCTGGCTCCGTCGAGTCCTCTTCGCTGATCGCACCGATGACGAAAGACAAGATGAGGAAATTTCCCTGCAACAAAGAAGGTGAATAATGAGAAAATGTGAAACATAATACGAAGGAATTATGAAGAATGGGAAACTGTATCGATGGCTGAGGAACGATACCGCCTATCTGCAAACTGAAAATTTTGCAGGGCGATGAAAAAATTTTGCTTCTTCTTCTACCTTCTGACTAGGGCCGTGATCCTGTTTGTCTAGCCTCTAAATTAGTATATATTTATGACAAATAACATATGATGGTGATGAGAGAGGGTTAATTCTCCGGGGATGAAAGGCTGCTCTGTGCCCATTTGCAAAATTTCCCTCTGTGCAAAATTTTGCAATTTTTTTAATTTTGGGGTTGGATTTGCAATTTTTTATACATTACAGCGTCATTGCAGCGCTGCCCTACACAATTGGGAAAAAACGGAAATCTTCAGCTTTGCGTATTTTACACAGTGTTATACGGCAAAGTCGTTAATTCGTTTTTGCCAAATTTCAGTTGGGCAGTGTTGTTTCTTAGCCCTCGGTATGCTATGTTACAGTGATGAGATGCTCAAAATTTAGAAGGGGACTGAACGAAAAAACTCTAGTCCTAAAAGTTGTGATTATATTGAAGCATCGTTTACCTCGTGTTCAGAGGTAATTAGTTCCGTAGTTACGAGACTTAATCAAGGTTGTTGCAGATTTACAGAACGCAGAAAAAGCTCTTGAATTGAGAGCAGGCTGTGTCACTATATATGTAATTTGTATAACTGCAACTGCACCGTTCAGAGTCCCTAAATTATTTTCTTTGTGCTAATTAAATATATCTAGGTTCAAAATTTTCACTTATATGTACATGAAGATTAGTGCCAACTAAACAATTTTGTGTTCAAATGTGATATTAATGAAATCTTGATTCTGGTGAAAAAAGTCGCACGTCGATTGCCGATTTCATTTTCCATGAACATTTCAATGTTATGTTTTCCAAACCAACATAAATCCATGTTTTGTTTTCTGTTCTCTGAAAGAGGAAGGTGCACACTATTTGGCAAGTACAAATCGCTTCAAGTAATTGTGCTGTCTAATCTTTTCAACACCAGATTAAAATTTTCGCTCCTGAAATTTTACCTAAAATAAATTCCAAGCCTCAATTTTGCCACGAACTCATCCTTGCCGTGCCTCGCCGAAAGTGACTCTGTTTAACATGTAAAATATTTGGCGGATTTTGTGAGGCTTGCCTTCAACATCGGACCATGTGACGTGTTGATGATCTCAGCGTCTGGATACAACTATTCGTGCTCAGTGACTGTCGGTGTTGCGTCAAAAAAGTTGAAGGCGTTCTTTACTTTTTTCGCCCGCGCGGTGCTATAGCAATACGCTTGGCGACGCGCCCTGGTAATTCACTGACAAATATGTTGCTCTTTGGCATTATTTACATTCATTTATTTTTTGGTACGACTGCATAAATATCTCCTTTTTCTGACCCATTAATAATTAATTTCATAAAATGAGAAAAAACGAAAGGAAAAAGAAAAATATAAAATAAATTGAATACAAATTAATGATAAAGCGACGCTTATCGCTAGAGGAATGACGATCGGACCATATAAATATCACTGTGTTTTGTCTTGTTTAGCAATGGCTGCCAAAACTAAACCGCTTAAAAGTACCCAATATATAAAAACCGATATTGAAATGCAATTTTATTGTTATGAAAGTATGAGATTTTGAGTCGAGATCAAGCTGAGTTGCACCCACTGCCCAGGAAAGATATGCTCGGTTTGAACGCAACAAATATGCAATATGCTTTGCAGTGATCGTATTTCATTCAATGCGAAATTCCTTAACCTCCGTGCAATATTAGGTAAAATTGGACGTATTAATGCTACAAGAAACTAAGTGCATAGGATTTGCGCGTAGCATAGGTTCTTTTGGCATAAATAAGTCTAATTAAATGTTGCTCCAATGCTCCTGATGGAAGTGATAATTTTCTCGAGGGACTCACGAATGTGCTTGAATCTAATTTTGATGCTCACAATTTGACCAGTATTACGGCATATCAGTGCTGCTCTGCAGCTCAGTGACCGAGTGCCTCTGGTGAGGAAGCGTGTGTGTGTTTTGAAGTCGAGCAAACGCACACTGAAGCCATATTTTTATAAGAATTATTATTTTCTTTTTAGGTGTAAATTGTTCACTGTTCAAAATTAGTCGATGAACTAGTAGTAGACCGATGAAAAATTAACCTCATGGTCTAGGCATAAAACCGTTAAGACGATGACGCTAAAAAATGTACTGCAGTGTGAATGTGACGTAAATTTAGTGAGGCTGGATCAAAAGTGCGTGTTAAAATAATTGCAGCACGCTTAATACTGAACGTAAAAACGTTATGATCGTTTCGTTGTGTTAATGGTTTCAGCTTCCACATTCACTTGAAGTAACAACGTAGTTATTGAAATTGGTTACGAAAGACTTCCTGTATTTTTAGATAAATTTGTTAAGAAAGAGTCACAATAGATATACACTTATTGAACCAACAACTAGTTTATACCGGAACATTGTGGTTTCATGGTAAATTGGCACTAAGATCTAAAAAATTCTTCATATTTCCTTTGAAAAATGGGCCCAATTTAAGCTCTTGCAAATCATATTTTGACTCTAAATAAGCGTTTTAAAGGTAAAAATTTCACAGGACTACTTCAAGATATGTTTTAACATCCTTCTACATTTTTCATGTCATTTATTCCCCCCCACCACCATTGATTAATGGTGCAAAAATTGGTGACCATCTCGTTATTGTGGTAAACTATGGATGTGTCATTAACATCCTGAAACCCGTTTAGTGTAAGATTGGATATCTAATAAAAAAATTTTCCAATTCGAATTTTTAATTTTGACTTTAAGGCGAAACGGCAACGTCGAAAGTTCTTCAAAGTTAATGCCCTGTGATGCACGACTGAATTTGCGAGTGACTGTCCGGCATGGTAGTCAACTTGGAATATTCTGATCCAGTTGAATCATTTGTTTTCAAAAGGAAACAAGTCCATTTTTGCAAGAGCCTTGGCTTGCATAAAAGTCCATGCTAACTAAGGCTCAGCGAGGAATGGACCTGTTTCCTTTTGAAAACAACTAATTCAGTTATGGGTGGAGCTCCACTTCTTAACTCACATGGCGAGGAATCGGGCTGAAGCATGGTGGTAAAAAAAAAGACCGCTCCGAGTGGCAACTACGGGTTAGAGTTACCGATTCGCGAAAAATAATACCTATTGCATATCCCCCGCAGGTTTCACAAAGCTAAGTCCCGAGACCCACACCCACGCGATAGACTTACGTAAAGCAACTGTCCTAGACAGTATTGGTGTCGGTTCAAAACAAACTACCAAGAGAATGTGACCCAAAAACAATGTTAACAAAATGAAAGAACTTGGAAGTAATCACTGACGTGGCAATAACCGAAGACTGAAAGTCATCGACCTTTTTGACGCCTCTGGTCTTTCATCGGTTGACGTATTAAACACTAGATAAATAGAATATTTTCAAATTTTATCAAATTTTTCTTCAGACTAAAATGCAGAAAAAAAGTCATCTATAATGAAACCCTCTCCATTCGCAAGAATGCATTACTTTAAAAACTTAGTTCAATGTTAAACTTTGATTGTTTAAACTTTTAACGAATCCATGTTTTTACAGATAGAAGTATGGCAAATGATAAATTCTGCTATAAATCTACTTGATTTTTAATTTAGTAACACTATTTGGTGAGGATGACCAGAATATTCATAACATTCGCTTTATTTACTGCGATTGCTTTCAAAGTTCTAGTATTAGCTACGAATGAGTCTGCTGCTGATTACCATACCAAATGTATGAAATATCTCTAAATACAATTACGTGCTAATCATCTAGTGATTCCTATCAAAGTTTTAGTATTTGCTACCAACGAAAGTGCTGCTGATTATCATACCACTGTATCAAACACAATTACGTGTCAATCACCTTAGCCACCTCTTGTACAATGGAGGCTTTTGTCAAAGTTTCATTCTAAATATTTACTTCCGATCTTATCGATGCATAGTTTGTATTCTCAGTAAACTTGAGGCCGAATATTTGCCCAGGCTTCTCATTGGCCACTGTAGATCGGTGGAATTTGATGATCAGTTTTCTTTTTGAAGCAACAAGTTGTGGTAATAATTTCGCCGGGTTAGCTTTCCATGGCCGTGTAATCTATTCATTAGGACCAAGTAAATAACATTCAAATTTTAGCAGTCAAAATTTTAAAAAAAAGATTATGTGTTTCCTATTTGGTAGCCAGATTGTAGAACTGAAAATATAACGAGATTCCTCCAAACGTTAAATTACAGAGAAGAACCAACGAGGATACGGTCTTTCGTGTCGTCAATTGTTACTTTACGTGGCACAAGACTCTTCTCTCTTACTCTGTAACACACCCATAACGTTTTTTCGGACCCCCTATCCTCCTCCCAGGGCGTCACTCAAAAAATAATGACCCCCAAGTGGACTACCTTAGCAGAAAGCGAAAGATTTGGCAGCTAGGTTGGATTGGAGGCGGAAGAACGGGCGAGAGCAGCGCGAGACTAGGTGACTCACAATCGACAGGGCGCCAGCAGACGTGAACTTAGAGTGAGGTCAGTGTTAGAGGAGCATAGAGACAGAGCCATTTGCCCTCTAGGCTGTGGGGCGACCACTGGCTCCAACCCGTCTGAACTGAATCTGATCCCAATTCTGTAAGTGCACTACCGTCACGCTTCAACAGCTTCTCGCCCGAGGTTTGCCAAAGCATTCGGATTAACCGCCTCGATTGTTCCTCGTTAGTGATTCTACATCATGGGGAATATTCAGAAGGTAGTGGTGGGTAGAGGAATGTACATTTCAACGCTGCAGCAAGCGAATACGCAGTTCTAATGAGAATTGTGACGAAGTTGGGTCATGTTCGCGTGAAGTAGTCTGCTCCTTGCTGTGGCTTCGTTCTCATAGGCTGATGTCTAGTCTACGTCACGAAAATGGTTCCCTCGTCACAACCCTCTGTAT